GCAAGGCATGTCCCGTGGTCTTCCAACCACATCACGAGCAAACAGGGATTCTGACTGCTGATGTGTGAAGCAGAAGAAGTCACACTTCATAAATCCCGCCTATCATGGGTTAGAAACAGGTTAGATGGCCTGGGAGGAAGAAAGCACAGTGGTGCCCAGCTATACAATATACAAGCTATACAATATGCAAGCTATACACCTGTATTATAGTGTTTTGTCTTCAGGCAGTATGAATATTATGTTGCCATATCTTGCCATAAGCAAACATTTTCTGAGTAATCTGAAGTGTATGGTGTTTACTTGCTTGTCACTTTGTATTGCTTGTGTCCTCAAATATGCAGTTACATTATATTCTCTTTACAATACTGCTAGTAAAGTGTTTTAAATCTCTTGTGATACCAGAACTCGACTATGCTCCAGCCATCTCGCAATCTCTCAGCAATTTTAAGCTGTGAAAACATGAATGGCCCCCTCTACACTGCCTGGAAGAGTAACACAAGACAAAGAAGAAAGTGAGCTCTCTCCATGTGTTTATACGAACTCATCTCCAACCCCGAATGAAATTCAACACTGCCTCATAGTGTGATTGAATAAATCACAACTGATTGTGCTTTGTAATGAAGGCAGCGGAGCATATTGTGCAAATGCTCTGCTTTTTAATGACTTAATTAGAGAAACCTCGCTCAAACTGGAGCAGAAAATTTCAGCATGGAGATGAGTGAGAAGCCCTGCCAGAAAACAGCACCATGACTCAAGATCCTGTTAATTGCTGCAGCAGTCGACAGATGTGCCTCACGCTTCTGCCCATTTTCTGCTTTATTAAAATTAGCTGGACCCCAAAGAATGCCAAATGTTGTCTCCCTAAACTAAATGATTTACGAGCACTAAGCACCATCGTGTCACTCTAATTTCCAACATACTCTGCCTGGTTTCTTCAGCTTTTAGGCAGTTGAGCTTCTTAAATCATCAACTACAGGTGTCATCAACTGCTGAACTGAAAAGAGAAATTGAGTAGATCCTTTTGAAGTTCCTGATACGTTTAAAACATCTTCAGTATACACAAGGAATACGACTCAGTCTACAGTTTTCTGACCAGCTGATTATCCCATCTCCCCAAATTTTAACTTTCTAAGCAGAAGTCCAGAAGGTCCATCAGTGCAGACGGTCATCTGAACCAAACAGGCAGAGCTCCATACACTGCAACTTCTGCCCCAGCACGGATGCTGTGTCCCTCGGCTGACAGCAGCACAAGCATTAATCATCCAACTCATTAAGACAATCTGTGCAAGTGCCCACAGCTCATGAAGTCTGGAATAGACCATAGTGATTCTTTTACCTCCTAGTGTATCGGCTTATTAGTCGACCACCTATTCAACCCTTTCACTTGACAGGGTGTTATGATGTCTAATATCCATCAATTCACAGTTTAAACTTATTTCAAAAAAGTCATTCAAAATTATGTCCACTTTACTGCTGGCAAAATGCAGCACCGGTGAGTGGGTTGTTTAACCCTTTAAAGCCGGTCGGAGAGGGCACGCTCTGTTTTGCATAACTATTTTTAAATCCCGGTAGCACTGCAACCATGTAAGCTAGCAATAATTCTTTTGCATATGAAACCGAAGGAATTGTACTTACATCTTATGCCATCAGCTTGTTCTAGGTCACAGTTTCCTTCTACATATAGCTTTGCAAAAACTGCATAAAAAGCACTTGCAGCAACAAAAACATTCCAGAAACACGCTTTGCCGATCTGATCACCTGTTCCTAACACTTCCTATGTCCATCAGCCATGACCTGCCCAAAACCGGAAGTGACATCATTTTCGCGGAAATGTAGTTTTTTACCATCAGGGCCTTGTAAGGCTATACTGGTGTTTTTAAAAGTTATGTTTGACTTTATGACTTTCTGTGTCATTTCTGGGATGCTTAGAA